CACATGGGCTCTCTGAAAATATCGCCTTCATCAATTCTAGGGGAGGCGACCCAAGCCCCAAAAAGACACGCCCTGCTGATTTTGGGGCATGGTCCCTTAAATATCAACTGACTTTCTTTTCCGATGTGTACCTTACCAAGGAATGTGGCAGTGGGGTCTGGTATGTTAGCAAGCCATTGTTGCAGCGCAACAATGGTTCGTATCGTTCATTCTTCTGTTGCCAACAACGACGATCATGAATTTGTTGAAAGAGAAATGGGTGATACCAATTTTGCTTGCCGCCATAAGCAGGATCCATAACTCGGATAGGGCAACCTAAGCGATATCGCAAGTATTTGTGAGCTGTTGACAAATAGTTATAAAGTGTATCCGCCTTCAAATCCTCTTTTTCTTTGGAGTTGTCGCCCCTTTTGACGTCACAAAGATACTTTCCAAGTACAAGGATGCAACCAGCATCATCTAACTTTTGTAAATCGTGCTCGCAAAGTTCTTGTCTGATGCACCAATTAGCAAAAAATTGGGCTTGAGAGTCAAAAGATCTGTTGCTACACTCCTGTACCGGTCCCCTATTGGCGCTTCTTTCAGCGTCAATGCAATCTTGGACAGCAGTTTGAAAGGCAGAAGGCAGATGCGGCATGTCTGTAGTTGGGACCATTCCTCTATAACGGAGGCCAATGAATTCTCATGATCTTTTCCTTGATTTTGTGGTCAACATAGGGCGTCTGCTGCTCCGTTCTGATTTCCACAATGATGTTTTGGAAAAACTTTCATTAGTAATTGAGAGGCTTCAACAAGCAATGCAGAACCAATTCTATCCAGTCCCTGTAGAAGAGGACCTTTTATCCTGGATGCTGTAGACATCCAAGACACAGTTGTCATATTATCAATCAATAAAGCCAAAATGTAGCCCCCATCAATGGGGCCAAGAAGTATCCCACATTTGATGCAGATCCAAAGGTTGATGAGTGCACCCAGATATTCCAATGGGTTGATATGTAAGAAACTATGGGGTAAGGCCTGATCATTAGATGAGATTTTTATTTCACGCATCTCAAAACCAGCTTTGACAAGAGTATCACGGGTCAGACGTCAAAGGAAACTGAAATCGGCACTCCAACCACCCAAGCCACCATAGCTTGCATTGGAGTATGCACGATGAGTGTGGTCGCGATCCAGGTACAAAGCAATAGGCCAAGACCAAAGTGGGCTGTCCTCAGGCGCCAATAATGTCTCCAACATTTGATGGATTGTGGCAACTGCCACACGCAACAGGTAGATACGAGAACATGTCCACCAGCTTCTTTTGTCAGAGAAGGCGTTCTTGGCAGCCTGTGTCAGTACATTTTGCAGGTTAAAGCTCAAGAAATTACCCCATGGTGCAATTTCAGATGCGAGGTGCAAGCCTTCCCGTTTGTAGATTGGCCAAGAAACCGTCATATTGTATGTATTGATACAAAATCCTAGAAACAAAAAGATTTCTGTAACCTCAGGTTCCCACTTTCGTTCCTGGAGGCAGTCACCACGACGCGCATCACCATGACCAAAAACCTCAAAGGCAGACATCACACTGTGATTGCTTGCTTGCGTGATATGTTCCGCAAAGGCGGCAACTGCATTGTTGTCTACATAGCTAGCATTGTACATGCAAACGAGTTTGGTCACAGGCAACGGTGGGTGATGGGAATCAGCAGGGACCGTGCACAAAGGAGTGGAAGTGTCAATGGCAATGGTACATTGACGGACCAGAGCATGTAAGTCGTCCAAAGGAACATCAACACAACAAGTTGCCAAGACCTCCCGTAGGTCGGCAAGAACACAGTAGAATGATGGAGCATTCCTTGAACCAAATACCTGGCCCACTGGGACAATCAAATTGTCTGTGTTGGATATATTAGGATTTTCAAAGTACATATTTGGAGAAACGAGAAAAAGAGAATGCATGTGAACGATAGAGAAATGATGTCGACTGATACGACTAAAAATGAAGACTGATGCGACTAAAAACATCGAGCGTGGCGAGTCAGAAAACG